AAATTTCATGTCATTAGCACCTCTAGTAATATATTTACTGAGAAAAATGGTGACGTGTTCAATACTTATTTTACCCGCTGTATTATATATGACTCTGAGCCGGACCATCTGCATTAGAATTCAGGGGTCTTTTTTTCCCTCATCTCTCAGGGTACGTTGTCCCTCTTCACCAATGAGAAAGGAGGAATCATTGATGACCTCATTGTGACAAAGACTGACCAGGGTTACCTGTACGTCGTCTCCAACGCAGGCTGTGCTGACAAGGACTCGGCTCATATGAAGGTGAGGGAATTTGTGTCAACAGATGAGCTTGAAATAAGTTAGAAATAATAAACCTGATGAGTTTGTGTTTTATGTTCAGGCCAGGCTGTCGGAGCTCAAAGCTGCAGGTTTGGATTTAGAGCTGGAGTTTCTGGACGACGCACTGATCGCTCTGCAAGGTGAAACATTCATTTTACACTTTAGCATGTTTTTTCTTTTCTTTTTATACGTTTTGGTCTTTGCCAATTTCGGGAACTCTTTTGTCTTCTTTCCTCTACCTTAATTCGGTCTTTCTTTTGTGTTTTTCTTTCTCAGTTGAAAACATGACCAACCGAATGTGTATATGCTCAAATTTTGGTGATATAAATAATGCAAATGTTGATTTTTGTGCCACCAGGTCCAACCATGGCTCGAGTTCTCCAGGAGGGGCTGAAGGATGACCTCAGTAAGCTGACCTTCATGACCTCCACCTTGGCTTCTGTGTTTGGGATTCCCAGCTGCAGGATCACTCGCTGTGGTTACACCGGAGAGGACGGTGTGGAGGTGAGCTTCTCTTCCTGATGATTCGGTTTACTTTCAGGATTTGTTCTTCATTTTCTGACAAAACAGATTGTCTTTTATAAAACTATGCTAATGTTACAAATCCGGAAACTGATTTTATTTAATTCAGATGAGTCAAATGTTAAGTTTTCCAAGTAAAATTGATATTAATAAAGTTATTTCTCACTGTCTGTGTGTCCCAGATTTCTGTTCCTCGGTCCAGAGTGGTTGAGCTGACTGAGAAGCTGCTGTCCAACAGTGAGGTGAAGCTGGCCGGTCTGGGTGCCAGAGACAGCCTTCGACTGGAGGCGGGGCTTTGCCTCTACGGCAACGACATAGACGAGAGCACCACACCTGTGGAGGCCAGCCTTGTTTGGACAATAGGTGATGTTTTATTTATCATAGCAGTAGTCTGTTGTGTAGTTTTTTGTTTCTTTCGTTAGGCTGTAGCAGAAAATTTTGTTTAAACTATAAATTCTAGATCAGGGGTCCTCGAGGGCCTCTATCCTGCAGGTTTTAGTTGTGTCCCTGCTCTTCAGCAGGTTTTCATGTTCATGTACTTCAGTTTGTTGGGGTTGCCTGCATGCAAAGAGGCAGCAGGTTACTCTATCATAAATCTAAAAAAACTAAAACGATACTATAAAACAAGGCCTCCATTGATTTTTCTTCTCGTTCACAGGAAAACGAAGACGGCAGACCAAAGATTTTCCTGGCGCTGAAATCGTCATACCTCAGATCAAAGCCAAGACAGCCAGAAAGAGAGTTGGTCTGGTGTCCACCGGACCCCCAGTCAGACAGCACACGCCCATCCTTAGCCCTGACGGACAGATCATAGGTAAGAAACAAGGTGGAAGTGATAGACAGCTCACTCAAAAAAGAGATAAGACTAAAAAAATAAAGAAAGAAAGAAAAGATATAAGACCAGTAGAAGGAAGTCAACAAAAATGAGTTAAAATATTACATAAATTAATAAAGTGTAGGGAACAGGAACCTAATTAAATTAATATTATGACTCATTTTGTAATTTTGTTTTCACTGTAATTCAGGATATGTCCACTGGGGGTCGCCAAATCTCTTTTTCCCCCCGCAAAAACTTTTACATTTGCCTTTTAAAAAATTACATTTTCCTTTTTATTTTGACCACAAGACATTTATGGCATCAGCTATAAGTGAATTTAAGCATTTTAATTAATAGATAAATTATATGAATGAGAATACAAGCTGAACAGGACCATAACAGATGTGAGAGCTGAAGGTTTTTCCCCGCCTCCAATTTGAGATTTATTCTCTAAATTACAATCAGACAAGTTGCCTGACAGAGATTACTTCAAAATAAAACTCATGAATGCCTCTTTCCCCTCCTCTATATAAAAACCTATAGGTGAAGTGACCAGCGGCTGCCCATCTCCCTGCCTGAAAAAGAACATCGCCATGGGCTACGTTGATGCAGCATTTGCCAAGAATGGAACTGCCATCCAGGTTGAAATTAGGAAGAAAACACAGCCCGCAACTGTCAGCAAAATGCCCTTCGTCCCCACTAACTACTTCTCTGGATAAGACGCACGTTCACATAAAAAAATAAAAATAAAAAATGCTGGAATGTTCCTCAATTCACCTACACTTAATAATGTCGCCCCCTGCTGTTTAACTCGAGCAATGCAAAAACCATTAAAATACTTATTTGTAAGTTTAAGACAAAAATAAATTAAAGCTGCTTCTTTAAATGTGTGTAATTAGTCACATTGAAGGCGGCTGGATTATAGATGGTTGGCTGTTTACGAGAACAGGACCTTCCATGTTTTACAGAAACTTTGTGCAGATTATCACACTGTACAGTTCGTCAGTATTTACAATGGATGTGTCGTGAATCAGAATTGGGTTACAGATGACATTACAAGAAGTGTTGTTGATCTCTTCATCTTTTAACCAGCTGATTTGTTAAAAACCATTATGTTTCAAAAATAAAACCTGGTACAATATTTCTGTCATAGATGGACCAAACAAATTCTGGTGCTTGTTGTTAATGCGTCACATACCTGCAGTTTTTATGTTTTCTTGATTCTTTAAAAGCACATTTATATTTATAATATTACTGTAAAGGTTTGGAAAGACACATCAGAGCTTTGTTACTATCCTTTAATACTCTTGTCTGGAGTGTGATAAACAGAAATATTCTGTCTGCTTTGTGCTTTTATCGCTGATCTGTTTTATAATTTAGCTGTTTTAAATAGGCAGCAATCTCATTTAGATTTTATTTAACCCCAGAAGAGAAGTTTATTTTTAATAAAGCAGTTAAACCTTAATGTTTAGTGTAATAATGTGTTATCCGTTTTCTGTTTGAAATTACAATATTGTTTAGATACTTTATAACGAGGGAGAAAAATACTACTGATTTAAACCGTGAATGTTTAAAATGCTTTTTTTTTATGACAAAGGAACATTTCTACTTTTAAATAAAGGTGGTTTCTTTATAGTTGGTCTTTTATTTTGGTAAAATAAAGGGTTTTATTTGAGCAGATCTCCACGGGGTAAATCAGCTTTTCAAATTTACACATATTTAAATGGTTTGTATGAAAATGGAAACGAGGTGAAAAAGGCAAGCTATGAGGCGTTACAACCCAAAATCTCAATAGTAACCTGTGCATTTAAATTATATTAAGAAAGCTTTGTAATGATAACTTTAATAATAATTTCATGGTCAAGTTTGAGCTTTACTTTCACATAAATGTCCTTCATTCTGTTCAAAAACCCTAAATTGTTTTAGGCAAAGAATAATGTGTTTAATCATTTGCATTAAACTTGCAAGTGTAAAACACTTGATACAGTTTTTATGTATATATTTAACTCGCAAAGTCCATGTTGATACTGCATCTATGGTCCAGGATCATCAGTGTTGAGTAGGACTGGAGGTTCAGTCCAAATTTGCAATAGTTTTGTGCCAGATATCCTCTCAACCAGGGCTCGACCCTGCAGCCTCAGGATTTAGGGTTTAAGGTGAAAATTACCCATTGGAAAGTTTTTTTTATGTATAGCTCAGCCTTAAAATTGCATATAGTTATTTTTTAATGAAATTAATGAATTTTGAACTAAATAATGTATTCTTTTAGATATTTTAGTATAGGTAAAAAGGACTGTGCACCTAAAGTATTAATCTAATGAAATGAAATCATTAGCAGCATGATGGCTCAGTGGTCAGTATTGTTGCCTCACAGCAAGAAGGTCATGGGTTTGATACCTGGTTCAGATCTGAGCTCTTTCTGTGTGGAGTTTGCATGTTTTTGTATTTGTGTGGGTTTTCTCTCGGCAACCCGGTTTGCTCTCACAGGCCAAAAACATGCATGTTAAGCCTCTCCTTCAAAAGAGATCAGCGGGATATACCTGGTTAAATAAGCATAAATAAATAAACATAAAAATTTAATTTGCCAACTTTAGCTGACTGGTCATTTCCTACAGTGGCCAGCAGGTAACATTTACCATTTCCAATATATACTCACACAAAGTAAGGAAATTTATGTTTGGTAGATTATTTCTTTGTTTCCCGGAAATAAATCGTATACCCGGGACCTGATGGCGTCACCTGGGGGTACCAGAAGCTCAAAACAAATGTGTTAATAACAACAACAAAATAAGATGTTTCAAGTCCACAACCCACATATGCTCAGCTCTGCTGCTCATCTCACAAACGCATGTTCCTTACAAATGTGGCACCATTTAACAGGGAAATGAATATGCATGTATATGTTTTGTGCTAAGTTTAGATGAAATAGAATAGCACTGGTAAATAGATAAACATAATTTAATAGCCCATTGCTAAGGGTGTAAGAAAATATTGATACTATTGCAACATTTCATTTCCAGATACTCGATTCTCTGAATAACTGCATTGATTTTTAATTAATTCTTAATGGATGGATGTTGTAAGAAGAAATGTGAAATACAAATACACTGTTGGTCAGTGTTCTTCTGATTGCACAAAAAATAAACTGAATTTGATCAGATATTATTAAAAACTAGAACATTTTGGAGAAAAACATGGCAACATATCATTATTGTGATCCGTCCTGTTATGTATTACATCACCAAATTCACATTTTATACAATTTAGAACGATTAAAAAACAAAGCTATATCCAACTGATATTAATTAACAATGACAGACTTTTGGATTTTCTAAGCTTATAAAATATTTTACCACGACCTACTTCTAAAAGTACGAAGTTTTGTTTGCACAACCGGAAACGGGGGATATTAGCAGGACGGTCCATACCTGGCAACCCCGGCAGCCGGTCGCTTCACTAGTTTACTGTGGGAAGATGGTGGACTTCACGACAGCAGCGTGCTCAAAACTCCGACCTAAATTCTTACCATCTCAGCCTGGCGTTCGTTATAAACTACCCGGGGACAATCACAGTTAATACTTACAGAAAACGGATAACAAGTGAGGTTTTCTCTACAGGACAACCCCCTCTTTCTTTTTTTCCGGGATTGAAGCCCGCGCGCGGAGAGTTGCAAAGAAAATTAAAAAAACAAAAAACGTGGTGGTTCACGTGTCCACAGCGGGCGCTGAAGCAAAGTGGAAAATCGGCGACATCTTTTCTGTCTTGAACCAACCTGAAGAGTCAAACCACGGGGACAGTTTAGACAGTTTTTGTTTTATTGTTTTCTTCAGCTGTCAAACTCGAGAGCAGCGGGACGGAAGAGAAAGCTAGCTGTAGCTGCTAGCTTTGTTGTTGTGACCCGGAGCATCCGACATGCCGCGGGGTAAAAAGGGGAAACGTGGCTCCAGTAAGCCGGGTGAGTTCTTGTAAATACTGTCGGGCTTTTAACAGGAACCAGCCGGGAGCACGGAATGTGAATAAACAGCTCCATCACCACACATTTAGCAATAGTAGTGTTTTTTGTTATCAATGTGCTGAATATCAACAGGCAGCCTGTTGCTCCTCGTCCTGCCTTTCATTATAAACTAGTGCAGTAAGCTTTACATTTTACATTATTACAATTTATTGCATAATAAGGGCTTTTAGCAAATACACGTTTTGTGCTTTTTAATAATAATTAACCTTAGCCAGTTAAATAGCAATGCCATGCTATAATAGTATTTTTTTTTTACCATTTTAGTCAAATTAGTATGAAAGAAAGTAACTGAACACGTAAATAATTATTAGCTTAATTAAGCTTCTTGTCCTCCTAAAATTTGATCTATTAAACAATTACATGATCCCGAGTCACTGCATCCCTATGTTGACCTAGACTGGTTGTTCTTATTCAGGGGGACGTGGTTCCCAAAGTTGGGGTCGGGACCCAAAGTGGGGTCCTGAAACATCAAGGTGGGGTCCTGAAAAGATTTTTAAAATTAATTACATTTTTGCCTTAGTTGTTACCTAAAATGTATAAATGTAGAATAATAAATATTGTAACTATGCCCATGTTTAGTTGACCTGATACAAATGTTTATCATCCAAAAATAGTTGTGGGCTCAGGTCTCTGCTACTGTTATTTTGTGGGTCAAAAGCTGAAAAGTTTGGGAACCACTGGACTAGATCATGGTTTTTTTTTTTTATATATATTTAACTTGCATTTAAAAAAAAGTTTTTATGTTTGGGGTTTTCTAATTCTAACTTGCTAGATGAAGTTAAAATGAAAGTGGAGCATATTTAAGTTCTCTGTAGATTTCTATGATCATTCTAAGCTCCAGCAGGCAGAAGCTGCACGTGGAACTGCATGTTATTTTTAGCACAAGTGCTACCATGCTGCTTAAAATACTGCAGTGTATTATACAGTTGGTTTTTATTGTGCTGGAGAAAAAAAAAATTCATACAGGCTTTGTGTTGTTGCATTCACGTTACTTCAAATAGTGTAATTTTGCAGCCTTGCTACAGGAACAGGTTTTGCCTGTTGTCATGATGCTTCTTGTCTGCCTGATCAGTCTGAACTGTTAGATTTTCTACAAAAAACACGAAAAAAAAAAATGCAACTCGTGCATCTTATGGAGTAAAACGTGCTGTTTTAAAATGTCGCTCAGAGTATTTCATTACTGAAACAGTTCACAGCTCATTTATGTTTTCTTCTTCATCACGACCACCTCCACGTTTGACATCTTTCTATTCATTCATTCATCCACCCACCTACATCTGCTTTATGTCAAACCTCCCTTCACCCGTCTGCCCATACGTCAACTCCAGGATCTCTCCGTCAGGAGGTTCTTCAGCTTCAGCTTTCGGCTAAAGCATCTCCGAAAGGTAACTCGTCTGACCCTTGACCTCAGCTTCCCTCCCAGTTCAGACCATTCCTAGAAGCTTTTGCTTCGCTGCAGTGCACGCAGTAAACCCAGTAAACCCAGCTTACCTGCTAGACCACAATAAAAATAAAAAAAATTCTTAGAGGCACTAAACACGACTAAACTTTTTCCCGTCTTACATTGCCTGCCCCGATTTCTCACTTTAGATTTTGTTTCCCTTTACACTGTTGTCATAACAAACAATACTATTTAGATGTGAACAGTATCAGCTGCTTATAAGGAAGCATTATTAAAGCTCTAGTAAGCAGTTTGTGTGATCTGTGTAAACAGTAGTATAGAGTGTAAATTTCAAGGTGAGTTTGCAAAAATTTTTAGCACTAACTGGTCTGATCAAAATGACATAACCCCCAAAATATGACTATCAATGGCGACACAAATAGCTGTAATGTATGTTAGAAACTGTGTGCCACACTCTGAAATGATCGCATGGAGTCAGAAAGGTTTTAGCGTTTGCACCGCTGCAATCGCAGGTGATGATTCTCTCAGACTAATCAGTACTTTGCAATGTTTCAACATACCAGCTTGATAATTAGGTGTTCTTAGAAAGTAAGAGCTGTACTGCAACATAGAACATGTAGTGGGGGAAACAGCATTTGATTGATGCCCCATTTTCATGCTGTAAAAGTGTATTTTTCAAGCATTGCGATCACAGAACCGTAAAGAGAAATGCAATGCTCTGTTCTATGTATTATGCTTGCAAATAAGATTCTTGAAGATTTAAACACGTTTTCCTTTGGTTCACTCTGGTTTGTCAGCACAGCAGAGCGTCTTAAAGAGTCGCTGACTGCTGGACTTGTCCGATTGCTGTGTCGGCATTAAGCGGTGTAGAGGAGACGACACGTGAGTTGTGGCAGGTAGCTCACGCTTCACAAAACAGAGCAGTGTGTGGGTACATCTGCGTAGGAAGGCGTATATATTTGTGTGTGTGGGTGTATGGGAGGCTGCAATGGAGTAAAGCGGCAATGATCAGGAGACAGAGATAACAGAGAAACCGCTGATTGATAAGATCCAAAATGGTGCGTTTTGACCTTTTGAACCAAAGTTTTAGTTGTCCCCAAACTAAAACCATGATTTCTGAAATCCTACTTCATAATCCTATTAAAAGCACATTAATTTGGTGGCCTTTAGTGGCAATAAAATAATCCTTCAAATGATGTGGCTGCTATCCCAGATTAAAGAAAAGGCAGAATAGATCAACAAAAACCAAGGGGTCCACACCTACTTTGGCTCAAACTAAATGGCTGAACCTTCACCTAGTTAACTCAGTTTACCCATCCTGGATCCAGGATTATTTATTTAGTTGGCTAATAATTTCTTTGTGATTTCTGCACACAGATGTCATCCGCTTAATTTTTATTTGAACTTTTCTTGTAAGTTTGTAGTGCTTCTGGACAGTGGAGGAACAAATACTAGTAAAAGCCAAACCAAGAAAACTGGTTTTCACGGTGTTTGTGACACGAGTGACCTCTGGATCACCTCAGCTGTACCGGTTGACATTAACACAAACATAAGCACGGTCCGACCGCTTCTGGAGCAAACACAGGAATGAATGAACGAATGAATGGACGCCGTGGTCGTCGGTAATCCCACCAACAGTGAAAAGCTCTGAGCCAGCAGGAACCTGAGAGTCAGCTCAGCTCTGCCGGCCTCTTGCTCCTCCACGACCACACGTGGCAGAGCTGAGCTGAAACAGAACACCTGGTGCTAATAAAAGCATAAACCACGATGGGACATGGCCTAATGGAAAACCTTTTCACTAGTTGCCGATTCCTGATAATTAACCAAAGCTGTTTCTGTGGTGGCACTAAAATCCGTTTTGCTCGATGAGAACCTGCACACATAAATTAAAATTAAATTAAAGTACAGACCAGATATTCTATATGTTAACACTTGGAGCGATTTATTCCTGCAGATGTGTCTCATAGCTTTCACAGTTTCAGTTAAATACCGATGATTTTTGAGCTTCTTCTATATTTCATACTTTTACAATAAGATTTCTTTCCTTTTTAATAAAAATACTGAAAACTGTTTTCGCAAACAAAGTATTTGGCCAGTGAAAATGTAGCATAAAATTATGTAGAATAAAATTGTAAATGGCAGAGCTTTTCTGAGTAATAACATTCTGGTGTTAATGTTGATTTGTCCACTCCTTTGCAATGATCAATGGGACATTTTTCAGGTAAACACTTACTATTCAACGTCATCTTAAACCACTTTTAAATTTGCTTGTGATGTAGTAAGGCTTTCTTAAAATGCAAACTTTTTTGCACTCTTTTCCAGTATCTTTCCTGGTAAGCATGTTGATCATCACCTATAATGTAAGATTTTAAATAACCTTTTGACCTGAGAACTGTCCTGACTCAGAAGTGGGGATAAAAATGGCTGCTTCATATTTGGTATTAATGATTGTTGCATTTCCGCTACTTAACACTTAACCAAAAAAGAAAAAGAAAAAAAAACATCATCCTTCTAAATGTGATTAAAAACCATCTCTTCAATTTTTTTGTCCTTTTATCACTTATTGTGCACTTTTTTGTTTGTTTCTTATTGTGCACGTTTTTTTCTGTCTTCAGGTGTTAAAAATGGGGTGAAGGGAGAGTCCACTGCCAGCGATGATGAGATGACCTCTGATATTCTCAGCCACTACAGCAGTGCCAGTGAAAGCGCCTCTGTGATGGAAGAGAGCACAGGTCTGTACAGAGACACTGGCTGAGATGCCCAAACATGACGTAAACAAAGTTAGTCTGGTTAATTGCTTGGTCAGTTTTATTATCTTTATTGCATTGTGATATAAGCATAAAGCTACTCTGTATTATCACCTTCAGATGAGCTATTGTACTGTTACCACAGTGAACATATCAGTTATATGAGCTCATTGGTCCAACACAGGGAATGAGCAGGTGGATGAGCAGACGGCACAGGATCAAATGGAAGACAAACTCAAACAGTGTATAGACAACCTGATGGACAAGAGGTAAACATTACATTCAACAGACTAATAAGCAACACAAGACTGTGGTTTATAGCTCTGAAATATGGCATGGTATGAGGGCCAAATTTAGAGAATTGTGCAACCAACGGTTCCTACATCCTTGCAGGAGGAAGCTATATGTATTCTTAACCCAGATATTGATCTGATTAATGATAGGCCAGCACTGGGAACTGAGCAGCTAGCCCTGTACTGTGAGGCCGGTGCTGGCTAGCGACTAGCATGGATAGGCTGGTGTTAGCATTGGAGAGGCTAGCGTCTAGAATGTATAAGCTGGTATTTGCATTAAAGAGGCTAGTGACTAGCATGAATAGACTGGCATTTGCTTTATAGAGGCTAGCAACTAGCATTGATAGGCTGGCATTAGCAGTGGAGAGGCTAGTGACTAGCATGGATAGGCTGGCACTAGCATGGATAGGCTGGCGTTAGCATTGGAGAGGCTAGTGACTAGCATGGATAGGCTGGCACTAGCATGGATAGGCTGGTGTTAGCTTTGGAAAGGCTATCGAGTAGAATGGATAGGCTGGCATTAGCATTGGGGAGGCTAGCGACTAGCATGGATAGGCTGGCACTAGCATGGATAGGCTGGTGTTAGCTTTGGAGAGGCCAGCGACTAGAATGGATAGGCTGGCATTAGCATTGGACAGGCTAGTGATTAGCATGAATTGGCTGGCGTTAGCATTGGACAGGCTAGTGATTAGCATGGATAGGCTGGCGTTAGCATTGGACAGGCTAGTGATTAGCATGGATAGGCTGGCGTTAGCATTGGAGAGGCTAGCGACTAGCATGCCTAGGCTGCTCACCTACTTTATCAGACACAAGCTTTTTTTGAATAAAGAAAACTCAACAAAAGTGATTGACATTTAAAACCTATAAGTGACATGCACTGACAGGTGTTCCTTAGACAGAATTTTCTGTTCAACATGACGTATTACTGTTAGCAGACGGCTTTAGTTACCACCGTAATTAGCAGCTGTGTTTGCCCCTGTCTATTGGTCGACAGCACTGTTTGTTTTTTTATTTGCATTTAGCTGAATCAAGTATCTGTCATTATAAATTTTAATTAATTAAAGAGAAGCCATAGTTCTGGCTGCTCTCTCTAGCTTCTCCAATGCTAACTCCAGCCTCCTGCTACAAGGATGTAGCAACTGCTGGTTGTGCAATAGTCTTAATTTTGGCCCTCACCGTACTGAAACTGTTAAAACCTTTGTCTCATTTTTGTCTTAGTGCGAAGACGCGTCTAGCAGCCCTGGAGTCACTCCGACAAGCTTTCTCCTCCAAGATTTTATATGACTTCCTAACAGAGAGACGCTTCACTGTGAGCGACTGCTTGGAAAGAAGTATTAAAAAAGGTAAGTTATTTGGAGCTGTAGTCGCAGATAAACATTGTTGTAATTTCATTTCCGCCTCTGTTGCCTTCATATGTCCAGGCGGTGGGGAGGAGCAGGCAGTGGCAGTTACAGTTTTCACCCTGCTGTGTATCCAGCTGGGGGGTGGAGACGAGGCGGAGGAGGGCTTCAAGGTGCTTCGTCCCATTCTCACCTCCATCTTGATTGACAACAGTGCCAGTATAGTAGCGCGTCAAAGTGTGAGTAACTCTGGATCTGAGCTCTCTAACTAAAATAAACTTCTTTTGTGCTCAAAATGTAATTTTCAGTGTAGGTTTTTGTTATGGATTAATTATATATATCTGTTCTACCTTGACACTGTCCAGTAATCATATCTTATTATAACCAGTTTCGGCTGTTTTACTCTATCAGCCAGACTTCAAGGCTCCAGCAATGTATGACCGCTTTAATTTCTGATGAGGTGTTTCCAGGCTGACAGTCCTGTCATTGGTTAGATGGTTACAGTTGGTGATTTGTGATTGGTTGTAAACTGTCACATGATGTTATCATGATGTTATATTATTGGCTGCTCTCTGCTGACGCGGCAGTCACAACTCAGCAGATTTCCTGATTGACTGTCGGCTGTGTTGTTGCTCAGAATTAAATCATTTTGACGACCATACACGCAGACTTTCTGTGCATTTATTCCAACGTGTTTCTGCATTCTTTGTAAATCATGCCACGACAGTTTTTGTTGTAGTTTTGAGCAAATTCAGTCCTAAATAAAACCTAAAGACCAAAACAACACAAATTTGTATTTATAAGTCTCATTAGGACAGATGGAATGAGATGGTGTCGTTAATGTTTGAATGTTTGTTTAATGATTTGTCCTTTTCTCTATCAGTGTGCGAGGGCTTTGGGGATGTGCTGTTACGTGTCCACTGCTGAAGAAGGAGAAGTGAGATTTAGTTGTATTAATGAAATCATATAAGAACACAGTAAATCAATCTATTAAACTTATAAAACGTGACTGGCGTTGTTATCCAAAATCTGTAATTTAAACCATTTTTTTAATTTTTTGAAATAAAAATTTGACTCGTGCTTCTCAATGTTCTCTCTGAACCACTGCAGACCCTGGTGAAGTCACTGGCTCATCTGGAGAGTATATTTATGTCTTCCTACCCCAACAAAGAGGGAACGTTGCCCACACCTAAACCAGGTAGTTCAGGACTCCAAGTGGCAGCCCTGCAGGCCTGGTCGCTGCTGGTCACCCTCTGTCCCGCTTCCAAACTGACTGTGCTGCTGGACCTGTGAGTGAACAAACTTAGTGTTCAGAACTTAATCTGTCACAGTAAATGTCTAATAGTGTGAATTTGAAGATATGTTTTCTTCCGTATGATATTTTTTGGCGTGTAACTAGTTCTGTAATTATTTTGTTATTTGAACAAGTTATATATTTATTTTAGAAAACATAATAATTAAGTTATATATTAAAACATTCAGGTCAAGGACATTCCGGCTATGACTTTTAGTCTTTCAGCAATTTATTCTTTTTGAGATGTTTAGATTTCAGCCATGTTTTTCTTATTAAAATTAATTACATTAATTAATGCACTCTCAGGCCAACATTGTAAATAAGAAACTGTTCTTAATGTTTTGCCTGTTGAAATAAAGGTTAAATGAAATAAAAAAAAAAATAAACAGAGCTGTTTCAACATCCATAAAACCCTTTAAAGGCACAGTGTGTAGGAGCCGAAATTGAGATAATCACTAATGACAATGTTAAAAAAACATGTCTGATCATTGCAGACAAAGACCTTGTTTTATTATTTTTACCTTATAAAAAGCTGTTTATATCTCTATGGTCGCAGGTCGCCACTACAGGCAGCCGCCATCTTGCACCGCCATCTTGTCTACGAAGGCTCATGAAGGACAAACTGCGGTGGCGGCGTCAAAAATGGTTTTAGTTGTAATACTATAAATGTAATATTTGTTGTCTGTCATTGTAGCTGGGATAATTTGACTTATTAAAGCTCATAATCTTACCACTTGAAACATCACTAGCCCTGAAGCTGCTGGTAGACATCGCGGTTGGAATTATCAAAGGTTTTTGACAGCTGAGAGACACCGTAGCAACTCCTTTGCGTTTGGAAGCGGGGGGTGGGGGTGGGGGGAGGACCAGGGAGGATGATTCAACCACTCAACCACTAGATGTCGCTGAAAACAACAAGTCCTACACACTGTGCCTTTAAAATGTTTATTACTGTACTTTTTATCTTTTGTTCTTGTTCTGTTTTTGTAGCTTTTGTGCTAATTTCAGCGTCCTTCTGCTTCTATTTTGTTTGTTTATTTTTTAAAGCTATCATGCGAACATTTTCTGCTATTCTTCTGCCATTCTAACTGCTTCTTTCAGCTACGTTTTGCTAATTTAAGCTGTTTTCTGTTTAGCCTTTTTTCAGCTAAATTCACCTCTTTGTTATAACTTCAGCTTCTCATTTCTTTATTCACCAAACATGCTCTTTCTGTTTCTTTGTTCTAATTTCAGCTATTTTAGCTGCTGCTTCTTTTTTTATTATTATTTTAGCTGTTTTTATTCATGCAAACGTTGCATTTGCGTTTTGGCTGTTCAGCACAAATCTTTCACCATTAAGCATTCACTTTGTATTGTCGCAGGCAATAAAAATTCTCAAGTTAATTTTACATCATATTCTACCTGAAGTGTATATGATGCTAACAAAAAAGTATTCATGACTCTGAAATGAAGAAGTGGTCATGTTTAACCTTCTTGGTTTTATTAAATACACGTTATGATAGAATTTACCACACCTGACTTGGCCTGTTGAGTAGTAACAGTGTCTCATCTACTCTGTCTGTCGTCCCTCTTACAGTCACCTTCCTAAGCTGCTAACGTGTCTTCAGAGCAGCGACGTCAACTACAGAATTGCAGTGGGAGAGACCATTGCTCTGCTCGTGGAGTTAGGACGAGATTTAGATGAGGTAACATCTAAATCTAAATGACCAGTGCAAAACATACTGAAACTAAAGTGTTGAACTCAAATGGTGACCACCTAACATTGCATCCAACAGAGTTTATAAGTGGGAATCTTTAGGCACCTCACAATTTGATTTTAAAATGATTCAGAGGACTATGATGGGATTTTAAACTTATTATTATCAGATTGTTGATAAACACCACATGGTGTTTTTTTTTTCAAAGCACTGTGAAACTACTAGAGTTGTCATGTTATAGCTCTCAAGAACATGTTCATAAAACCCAAATAGTCATGATTCTGACCAAAATTAGCATAGATGCTAACTTAACATTGAAAATATCAAATTCTTCCATGTCTGAAAAATACCATTACTCCCACCTCTACGTTTTACTGCACTAATGTCCTGTCCCTTTTATTTGTTTGTGTATGTGTGTGTATGTGTGTGTGTGTGTG